TTCGACCTGGACATACTCAACAGCTTCGCTAGGACTTTTACCAACCCGGACAATCGCGATGTCGTCTGCCTATCCAAATCTACAGTTAGTTGTGCCATCCTCGAGTAGAATCGAGATGTATACCATGAACAGAAGTGGCGAAAGCGGTGATCCTTGCAGGACACAGCACTCAACAAGCTTCTCATCTATTACGCCTTCTTCATGCCTTACCAGAACTTTTCGTTTTTTTTTCAAAAAAGATTATACCCGGTGACAGAGTGATAGCGACCAGCCCTGACTTCGCGTTCGTGCGAGCAGCCTATTGTGTAGCACTGCATTGAAGACACTTTGAATGTCCAGCGTGACCATAGGTGTGACTTTGTTCGATCTCATTACAGCTTCTGCATTGTGTATAATACATGATACCAAGTCAACTGCTGAGAGTCCTGGTAGTGCGCTGAATAATTTTGGAGGTACCGCTTTGTACTTTATTGCAAGCCAGGACATATGTTTAGCTATAAGCCTTTCCAATCCCTTGCCTAAGCTAGAGAGTAGCGATATGGGACGCCATCCTTTTGGGGTGGAGTGATCACGTCCAGTTTTAGGAAGAAGTACAACTTCAGCTACTTTAAACGGCGTAGAAAAGTACCCAAGTTCAAACATGCCTGAAAGAGGTCCCTGACATATGTTTCAATTATACTCCAGCAAGCCTTGAGGAGTCGAACGATGATTTTGTCATATCCCGGAGCCGTTTCTTTTCTTACAATGGTTGACACTTATTGATAACCTAGAATTTGTAACACTTTCTTGAATCATTCTTGATCCTTTTTTGGATTCAGCACAACATACTATATAAGAACAAACAGCTTTATATCATTACATCATTAGGGTCTATTTCACATGACACAACCCCTCTTTTCCCCTGCAACATTAGCTGATACCGACGCAATGAAAACCAGCTGATGAAAGATCTATTACTATAAACCAACAATACTGTAACGTCTTCTAGTGACATCTCTCCGCTCCATGGTATAGAATATGGTTGATCGTTATCCCACATTTCTATATAGCTTTTAGCGTCGAACCTTGAAAGAATGAAATCTCGAAAAGCGATTGTCCGCTCTAATGGATCTGAAAGCCACTGATTTGGTGATACCTGGAGAGGAGGAGGCTGTTTCGTCGGCTTTGGTTTGACCCATCACATAAGTTTGAACACTTGTGCTTCTGTCTCTGCTGCCTCGACTTGGTTTATCCAGTATTCGCGTTTTGCTGACCTCACTGCGGCTCAGAAAGTCTTACGAGTCATTTCTACATCTCCGTATGTCCTTTTGGCTATCATGTAGTCAATCTGTCGCCTTTTCCAGTTCCCAGTCCACCAAGGCGCTATTTTCCCTCTTCCTACAGCGGGTGAGCGTCCGACAACTTTAACCGCATCCTGAAGTTATTTGATTGAATTCCTTGTAAAGTCTTCAATCTCAATTTGACTGCTGAGGGGGACGTGCCTTACCCATAACCTTACACATCTAGGGAGCTCGTCTAGATCGCTATCCTTCACACGTATTTGTCTTGGGATCCCAGATAGGTCCGAGCATCCAGGTGTATCAACTGAGCCTTCAATGGTAGAGTGGTCTAATGTACAGTGGAAGCGGGTTGAGACTGAAGCACATGCGGTGCCATTACTCCAGGTTAGGTCTAGTACATTTCCATCGCGGTGGGTACTTTCTCCTAGAGTGCTTAGTAGCTGCATATCTTTTCTGTGGGCCCACTCCATGATGAGATCACCGTTTCCATATTGGCGGTCCGTCAATGGCTGCTAATACTGTGAGGCTGAGTTGAAATCGCCTCCCACTACTGACGGACCTATTGGCCGCCAGTTTAATAGAGGATCTAGAGTCCCACTGAGACCCGGGGCACGATAGACATTTACAAAGATCAGTCCACACACCTACGCGAAACAGTAGTCTGACGACTGGCTTAATGACGAGGGTGAAATCTACGACGCTCGAGGTCCTTTTCTCACAAAAGTGACAGCGCGTAGTCGTAGTCTCGGCGTCGTATTTGCAAAGGGTATAAAACTATCAAAGCCAGGATGGCTTTTCGTAGTGAAATCTCCGTCTTCTCGCAAGGTCCATGGTTCTTGAATCATCACTATGTGTACTTCTGCTTTCCAAGCTTGCTGCAGCGCTATATCCATGTTTTGCCCATCCTTTCCCAGGTTCACATGGTAAAATAGAAGGGTGCTATATTTGTGATTATGCTTATGAGACTTTGGTGTATTACTCATTATCAAGCATTGTTTCTTCTGGTATGTTAATTACCTCGCGGGCCTTGCCTTTTTCTTGAGATTTTCATAAATCTGCCTTAAAATCTATGTGTCCTCGCTCTCGAATAACTCGTAGCTCGGCAGGTGTTCGAGACGTTACTTTTCAATTGTATCGCCTTGGCCAGGCCACGCAGCTCAGGTGGGCTGACTCGTGCGGTCCAGCACAGTTTGAACATTTGGGTTTGTTCACCGAGCATTCGGCTGCTTCATGCGTGCCAGAACACTTTTCGCACCGCTATCTTTTGACGCAGTTTCTTGTTGAGTGGTAGCCCCAGCAGCGTTGACATTGCTCTATGGGGCGTTTACGGGAGAACGATATAGCAGGGCCGCTCTCGTTGAACAGCCTGAACCTTAGGTTGGCTGGTACCTGTTTGAATTGCACGATCCAGCTAGTGAAATAGCTGGCTAGTTTGGTTTCGCTTGGGCGCACCTGTATTGGTGTGACTCCACAAACTGCCTGGCACTCCGCCTTCACTATTTCTCTGGTTATTTCGATCCTTCCGTCTAATGTACGGATGCATATTGGGACGTGAGGGACCATGACCGATATCCAATCTGAGGCGGGCTCTATTGTGATTACCTCCTTTTGAAGTGAAGGTCCTACGCCCAGAATTAATTCCCTAAGTGCGTCTGATGCGCACTCCGTTACTAGGTCAGACCTAACTTATGTCATCGCTATAATTGCTGAAGGTGCGACCCCAGCTTTCTCAATGATGAGCTTCTTGATTGTGACAGGTGATAGCCTCCGCTACTGATGTTCTCGCCCCATATGAGCGAAGAGTCGTTTATCTTCTTTCGAGGGCTCTTGTCCGGCTGGCTTTGTCTGCACGGCAGGCCTTCACTTTACTAGGTCGGCTGGTGGATCCGGGCTATTGTGACCCACTGAGAAGCAGTTTCCTGTGGCTTTTGAGGGAGTTCGTGGTGGGGTTTCTCCGCTATTTTTGTCCCCCCTGGTACAGAAGTTTTCATCTGAGTAGTTTCATGGGATGGGTTCTTGCCTTTGGGATTTGCGGCATTGACGTTGCCTATCGCAAACGCTGTCACGATGGGTGAAACATTTTCAATGAGAGACGCGACTAGGGCTGCGCCTTGGGTTCCTGCCTTGGATTTCGCCCAGGCATCGATGCTTTGCAGAAAATCCTGAGCTAGGCACTAGCTGCTTTCTTTGGCGTTCTGATTGCTCCATGACGGCAGCAATCCCGAGAAAGCTCGGGAGTAAATAGTCGCCTGGGTCAATTGACGCCGAGGAAGACGGCTGGTTGTACGCAGCCATGATGCTGCTTGATTTTGCGGGTATCGATGAGTGGATAAATTTAATTATTCGCATAGAGGTGATGATAATGGAATTATGGTTGTGATTATTGTTTTTTTTTTGGCATCAGATTTTAATTGCGTATGCAGCTATCTAGCTATGACACAATATCAAAGAAAAGTACAGAAAAGATGACTCAATTTACAAGAGGAGCACTCATGCCTCGGGTTTCATTTGCAAGTACCACTGCGAAGTTATGGTGGCTTTTTCTTCGCCCCAAGTCAACCCTCATCCGTGAATACCCACCCAGGGGAACGTCTCAAAAACCCTGAGTTATCCAGACATGCCTCCATCATCTTTCACCTTTTCTCCGCGCAAAATGTGGTCTTAGGTGTCTCCTTCCCAAGTGGAGTAGGTGCCCAGGCTACTCAAACTATACTAGAGAACATCACCAGGAGGCGGATCACGACACCTTCCATCGTCGGCTTGTTTTTATAGTGTCAGCTGCACTCTAAGTGGTACATTATGCGAGCTGATCTATCAAGTAAAGTTACATAGCTTGATCATCTTATTGATTGGGGACAGATGATCGTTGATTTGAATCCAGAAGTATTGACTGGTTTCCCGCGCTGTTCATGTGTATATTACCAGAGGAAGCTTGAATATCCGAAGGAATTAAGACTTTGATTTGTACTCAGTATGGAGGCACAGATGTTCTTCAAAAGTAGGCATGTCTCAGAGAAATTTGTGAAAATAGATTACGCCCTCATAACTCCATTCGTACGATCATTGTATGAGTGTTGGTCTTGAGCACCACAAACATACATGTGACATGAATGCCAATCGAGCCTTGGCATTACTTAGCGAACACCCACGCATCATGTATATAGATCTCGCTGTAGTTACTCTATCTTCTCTTTTCATGGCCAATCTATCCTCATTTCCCCAGGCTGCCTCTCTACCATTTTCCCACCTCGTGATTATATATAATTAAACAGATTTATTAAATTAAAAAATCTGGATGAAATCCATAGGATTAGTGTCTGAAGGTGAAAGCGTCACTAACATGGAAATTAATCACAAACACTCTTCATGGCCAGGTTTTATTTTTCAAAAGTAAATTTATTTAAGGACCCAGAATAAGTGAATCTCGTGTGCTTTCATACATTCTGTATGCTATAGCTGATATACTCAACACGAGTTAATAACTCCCTCAGAACTTCTCCTTTCAGTCCGTTATAGATGTGAGGAGTCGTATCCTTTTAATCAGATTTCTCTTGTTTATTTAGGATTACATTTCTCATTAAGACTTCTTGGAATTCACTCAACTAGGATTGATAGTCATGAGATTTATCTTTTTCCACCTCCTGCTGATATTCTTAGGGAGACTACATGAAGCGAATACAATCACATTATGAGTAACAAAAGTTTAAAAAGTCGCAAAAATTATTCTTTAACTTTTTGAGTACCACGTAATAGACCAGTTCTCCGGGCGGCGATGAGACCTGCCTTTTGACCCTGTGCAGCATATCTTGAGATTGTCGAAGCCTTACCGATATGTTGGTGGTTACCTCCCTATTGCTTATCAGCGTAATTGCCAAAGATCTGGTATGTGTTTCACTTACTCCATGAGGATGGTCTACTGGATTCATTGCCACACCGCGAGTCTTGGGCCAAGAATTACGTTTGACGGCAAACTTATGCTTGGCTCTGGAGGCCTCTGTTGGATCGTTAAATATGTTAATTTTTAGACTTGAGTTTACCAACTTAGCAAAGGTTTGTCTGTTCTTCCTCCACCGGCAACGATGCCCACCATTCCTCGGGCACTATTCTTGATAATTTTTTTGGCGCCTGAAGGTAGTTTTACACGAGTTTTCCCTTCGTCTGGGTTATGACCAATTACAGTAACGTAGTTACCAGATGTGCGACCAAGCGCACCACGGTCTCCAGCCTTTTCTTCGACATTTGTAAGAACTGTTCCCTCGGGAACAGATTTCAGGGGGAGAATATTTCCGATTGTGAGAGCAGCGTTTTTTCCAGCGTATATAAATTGACCGGTGTACATTCCTTCGTTGGCGATGAAGGTTTCGGTGTGCAATTTGAATCTGTACGGGTCGCGAAATTGAACACCTTGCTGAAGTTAGAGATACTAGAGCTCGATCGTACCAAATAACTTACGGGCAAGAGGAGCACCACGACCTGGGTCATGAATAATTTCCTAAAATCTTAGCTCAGAATGAATATGATACATGCGTTCTCTAACCTTAACTACGCCTCGTAAGTATCCATGAGCCTCGGCATAGTCCAAGGTTCTAAACTGCGCTGGAGCCTTGTTCAATCTAGTGTTTGCTAGAATGATGTGAGTCAGTTTTCCCGAGTATTGTGTGATCATAGATGACAATATTACCGGTGAAAATCGAGCCGCGACCCTTTCTTTGATTGCGGATTACCCTACCCATCGTACACTGGACTTTGCTAATGTGGCGATGCTGTTCTGAATAAACTGATTATTTAGACGAACAAGATATCGCAAGTAATTTCAAAATTCCTTGTGGTGAGATAAGCGAGCACGTGAATATTTGGTAGCCGCGGCTGCTGACTACACACCGATCTTTTTTTTTGCGAAACGAAATAAGAAATAAATTATTCATTGTCCTGATTTGGCGCCTTGAGGCCCATGCAGGTTTTTATCGGAAGATATTTACTTTAAGTAGGATGACACAACATGACATTTAGAACACCCACACTCAGATTTCACTTGCAATACCACTCGAGGTTAACCCTTATGGCGTATAACCTCTTCCGTGCATATCCACCACAGGGAAAATCGTGAAAACCTTGTAGCTATCCAAGTGTGCTTTCATCATCCCACAAGTACAATATCACCGCGAGAGAGTGTGGTGTGTGGGTCTTACTGGATTCGAACCAGCTTTCTCCTGTCACGAATGGGGTAGGTGTTCAAGCTACCCAATATCTACTTGGGGGAACGGCCTGGATGGTGTACCACTGCACCATCCAGCCCATGCAGGTATTTCTAGCTGTATTATTTACACGAAAGGAAACCAAAGTTCGGTAAAAAACCCCCAAAACTGTCTGTCTCGTGTCTTGTGGTTTTCTGGGTTTTCCAACAAGTGCGTTTACGCTGTCTATACAGAGTGAATTCCGTCCTGCCTTGTCCAAATCGTCTCATCTTTTCGTCTAATGTTATTTCTATTTCTGCTGCAAGCCGGAATTGTTCATACCAGCCTTTCGCCAGGATCCATTTTGTAATTCTCTCCATATCATCTGGGCCGTTCATCATTGCCGCAAATTCCTATCTTTTGCCTTTCGAAACACCTTTCCTCTTCCCATTGCCCACTGAGGACACGCCAAGACCAGTAAGTTTGACATTTTGAGACGGATATATACACTGACATTTGGGATTAATCACTCTGGGGACTTTCCTTCGAAACGGATAAGTGTTGAGACCAATGTGCCCACTTCTTATCCGAACTGCAATACTGCTTTGGGCCCTGTTAAGAATCCGGTCAATATTTGAGGGTGTGTTTCTATAGTTAATCCTTTCTGTCTGTCGTCTTACCTGTAACAACATTTGCAGCTTTCCAATGTTTTGTTTTCGTTAATATTGGTCCAATCTAGATAAAATCTGTTAAAAAACCGTGCTAATTCCGATTTTTTTGTAAAAACAAAGCACTCCACCTGAAAGACTAGGGGGCTGGTCCTTCAAGACCCTTTGTCTCTCACACATCTGGAGGGCCTTGTTGTTTTCCTACCTACTCTGGAAAATGACTTTCACATGTGATAAAACTTAGCACAGTTTGACCCGAATGCCCGCGGGTTGGACACTTTCTCTAATTTTCATAAGCCTTAGCATGATAATTGTACCCGTGAATAAGTATTCGCTTTAGAAGCTCAGTTTTATTAGCTAATACTTAGAGACAATGACTCACCATACTGTGTGAAGAGTTGACTTTTAAGCAATACTACATAATGCCTAAATCGTATTAACTTTATGAGAAAAACTATTAATTTGTTGATTGATTCTTGGAACGAGAAGTAGCACAATAACACGAAGCAATGCATGTGTCGTGGCGGTGATGGGCGGCAGAAGTCCTAATCAATGCAGATGTGGCTAACATTAGTCATCTCGGATTCAGCTTTTGAATTGCCGACCACAACTATATTTCATACAACTTTGGTGATCTAAAGTTGCAGCGATAAGTTGGAGCAAGGGTTAGCAGTTTCAAAGTGGGTTTCTATTAAATGGAAAATTATCCAATTGCTGTATTCATCTCTAAGAACGCGTCAGTCTATCAGGAGATTATTGGCATATTTACCGTAACTAAGTTCAAAGGTGTTAGATCACAGTCAAATGATATCTGAAACCTGTATATTTTCATAGATTTTCAAGAATCTAGTTTACGAGATCAAAATTCGTATAGATCGGCTCATCTGTTGCACGCGCAAGTAATGATCAAAACTGTTTCATAATGTAAGATGGAAAATTTGGAAACTACTTAACTTGCTTGATACAGGGAGGAAGGGTATAAAGTCAAATAAAAATAAGTGCTAGATCTTTAATTTCATACTAGGGTATCGGTTTTATGAGGTACTATATTGTAGATAAATGTCCAACCGAAATTCTACTTTGCCTATTTTGCTCTACATGTCGCATTTGAAATAGGCCCTTAGGTCAAGCTGATAAAGTAGCTTTTCACAACGAATTCTTGGCTTGATCACCAGTTGCTATTATTTTTGATTGAAAATTTGTTTCTCTCCTATTCAATAAACGCCAATATGATGAGCTCCGACGAATCGTCTGAGCTATCATCGGTTCCGTCTGATAATGATTGCGATCTCCATCTGAGCAAAAAAGACGGAATACTTAAGTTCTTTACAAAACAAGATACAGTATCTACTTTCTCCGAATCTGAGGCCTCCCCGCCACGATCAAAACGAAGCCCCTCACCACCTCACGATTACATACTTGGAGATAATCCTGACATTGCTGTATGTTAACTAAATTAACCATTACTATCCATAGCATTTCCTATGAGCTGACGCCTTGTCCTAGTTTATTGTGATGTTTCGAAGTCGATTCACAGAAGCTTTCCCAAAATCACTAGTTAATTTTGGTCCGCAAGAGCTCGAACAAGATATTTCTAGCCCAGTACTTGGAGATAGTGTTGAAAGCTTCTTGTGTGCATTGCTGGGCTTACTGCTGAACAGGAAGCAAGATGTCAAGTATGTTAATACCTTAGACAAAGAAATGAAACAGAATGAAAAGAAGCACTCTAACGCTTCTTGTATTTCAGGCCTGGTCATTATCAGAGAGCTCTTGAGGAAGCTATTCAAACACACAAATCTCAATGGGCAAAAGACTGGGAAGGTAAATCACCTTTGGCAGGCGGCGTAACTTTTGTATCAATGACTACCATTCAACGGGTTCGAATTCTCACAATTAAAGCTAAAGCCTATACTAAATATTCAATAGCTCACTCTTCTTCGAATTCTTATTCTCTGGGCTCTCTCTTCATCCGAGGTAGTGAAGGGAATTATACAGTCCTCCTACAAGCAAAATCGACAAGAAGACGATCTCAATCAGGCACTTTCTGTTCAGCCGTGGGGCTGCGATAGTGAAAAACGTCGCTATTATCTCATCGAAGGACTAGATGACACTCAGTTTCGAGTATACAGGGAGAGTAATTACAAAAATCTAAAGCGCACGTGGTGGAGCGTCGCAAGTAATATTGATGAGCTAAAAGCACTCGGAGAAAAGCTTCGATTGCACGATGATGGCCAGAAAGCAAGACTTTTGAGTGGCCGTATACTAGCTGCCATTCCAAGGTTTGAAACTGCAGAAGAAGTTTGTAGCTTTGAATGCAAGAAGCTCTAGAATACTGACTGTGAACAGAAACGTAAACGGCGGGAACATCGGACAACGCGAAAACAGCAAACTAGACGTCCAGAATTCAATTATTCGCTATACGAGGGACGAACACGAGGAAAACGGATTAAGTACACATTCTCAGATGAGGATGATGAAAATTCAAATATATTCACCACATCTCGTCGATCGACAAGGAATGAAGTACCTACATCATCAGACCAAAATGGTCACACCGTAACTCAGAGTGGAAGACAAGTTAGGTCTCGACAAGGTGGAACGTATGGTGAAAGTGTAGTCAATAGCAATCGTGCTACAGCCACTGGGATCGAAGGAGAAGCATCCAAAAGCATTTCCTCTAACCCCGATGAGTCGACAAATAACAACAGTATAACCACTGTTACACAAATGAGCGATGTCGAAGAAGACCAGGACACAGAAGAACAAGGCTACGATGAATATGATGAATATGACGATGAAGAAAATAAGGAAGATGAGATACTTCAAGATAGTTATCTTGATGATATCCCTACCGAAGATGAAAAAAAGGAACTAAAGTCAAGGGAGCTACTCGCAAAAAATCCGGCCCACAAGTCAATAACCGAGCGAAAAACGTTGATCAAGTTACGAATAAGTCCTGCAAAAGAGAATAATAATACCAATAGTAACCTGGCATTTAATTACACAAGTAGTGATAAAAAGACGGTTAATAACCCTGAAGAAAAAGAGGACCAGGTTCTATTCTCATCGAAGTCTACCCTAAATTCTATTAATCCTGTTTCCGCATAAAACTTCTCGTCTACTTCGCGCACACTCAATTCAAACTCGTCTGTTAAATTCGCTAGCAGTCAATAAAGATCACCGGTACACCCCGCCCCCATAAATGTTGGTTTCGGCAGCTCCCAGCCAACTAGCATCCGGGCGTAATTTTGAATAAAATAGGTAGAGAACGGCGGGATTCAGTGACACAATGGAGTTAGTCTTCCCTAATCCTAATCATTGGACAACAGACCTTTGTAAACTATTCTGTACTATTACGGGGAACTAAGTATTCTAAAAAGATATAGTGCTTTTCGAGGATTCTTGCCAACGCAGTCAACTAAATAATTTAGATCAAACACGAGATAAGCATCTGCCTTGATCTTAAACCACGTATTCATATAATCTGGCCAATCTATACTATTGAAGAATTTTCGTACATTCTATATCATGAGTTTAAATTATCTAAAGAATTATGGGTGAGGCTCTTCTGAGGTTCTGAAAGTTTAGTTGATCTAAACGGTTTCAATCAGCAAAGCTCCAAATCTCACCTCCGTTCCATCTTGCACTCACATCTCCTACACTTGCTGCAAGCTCTGCACTACCTCCAAAACTTCTTGTCTCGTGTGTTTTCCAGTCTTTGAGTCTGTGCCACCAATTTCTGACCTTAGATCCTACAGAAGTGCCAGAGATTTGTGCTTTTTGATTCCAGTGCGCCCAACCTAAGAGGGCCAGAGACCAAATTGTTCCCTGAAGAAGCGGCAACAAAACCTGTAACGTGGACATATTAACTTTGTGTGCACCTTTGTACATGTTAGAATTTAATACCTGATCCCTTAAAGTAATAGTTGCTACCTGCCACCCGGAGTCTGCCCCTGCGAGACTGGCTAGATAGCTTTGTTCGAATCTCAAGTCTGGTAGCGGCCCGAAGCTGTCCCGTCGAGATCTTGAGTGTGAGTGCAGTGTATAAGGTTCTTTATCACTTTTTGTACTTATGTAATTAAAGTGAGTAAACCTTGCTGGATTTGAAGGATCAAACCTAGTGGTGCGTGGGTAAGATGATAGTGGTATTGTCGTGACCGGGTCCAGAATGGGGAGGGACGAGGAGATCTGTTCGCTTGAGGCCATTGATGATGGATTATGTTTTTTTGTAACTAGTTGCTCATTACTTGAGAGATTAGTAGAGGCGCTGTTTTCATTCGTAGTTTGAGCAGGGTTTACCCAACGTTGTAGAAGGTGGAGTTTGCACGTGGTCATCCCACCAGTGAAGTAATATCAAAAGAAATACGGCACGTGCAGCACAACATCTTCGTACCAATTCCCAATATAGTTTCCATGCCACGTCTGTACCGCAATACAGCGTGGTTTCCAGTAGGCTCAAGAGGCCTGTTGGATACAAGTATCCCGAGTATGTTATTACGCGCTTGGCAGCGCGCGTGGAACGCAAGTAATTACTTCCAACTCTATAAATGGGGGATATTATGGCAGTGGCCTCTGAGAGTTAACAAACTCCGGCTGATTGTGATCATGAGTTACTTATAAGTTCAGCACCGGACCACCACCTTCGACAAGAGGACGCTCTTCTCGTCCGTACGAAGCTTAGAAGTCCTTACGAACTTCCGGAGCATATCAAGGATATCTATACGGTCCCATCTGGTATCACCCTCGTAGCTCCCTCTCCAAAGCTTCTTCAGACAGCAATAGCTCTACGACCTGTAACAGATTTTTTTTCAATTTAGAGGCAGAGAAAACGAGCAAACTTCCTTCCTAGCTCAATTCCGACATACGGTTACAACTCATCCGGATTCTCTAAGCCTTATCCGCTGCTGAAATCTGGCAGTAGCTAAAAGCTGCCAAAATTGACACTGACTCAACATTCTTCGTCTCGACGCGCCACTCACGAGCATCCCGACCTTGGAAGGAATAATTCGATTAGTGATCCCCAAGCTTGCTTCGGAAAATTCTCCAATCATTATGCTCCTCTTTGGGCAGTCTGCTAGAATTCGGCCAGCAGATAACTGCCCTCGTCTCCAGGTCTGCCTCCGACGTCATGGATTCCATAAAATCAACACTTGCACACGCTGGGCACAACGTAGTCTCTGCGCGTCAGATTCTCGCAATTGACTGTGCATGACACCGATAAAATGCTTGAATTTCGTCGGTCTTCACGTAGCGTACTCTCCTGGCTGCCCGGCTTGGCCATTCTGTGCTAATTGGGTCTTCATTGGTCCAGACAAAGAAACAATTCAGCTGATACGCCAGCAGGGACAAAAAGCCTCGCTTAATACATGTCTTCCTCCACCTCCTAATGAACACCTGAATTTGATCTGAATTTGATTAAATTTATTGTCGTGCCTCTCCATATCTCGCTACTACTGTTAGGTGCTAGACGTCTCAATCCCTACAGAACTACCCGACGCTCTAGTGTATCCTACAGCACCTAGAAGCTATAAAAGAATTCAACTAGCTACCTGCCACCCTGATTTCCAATTTAAGTATAAAAATTTTCCTCTATCAGATGCTTCACTTAAGTTCACAAGAAGTATGGAGTTACACCCGCAGATTGCGAAATGGTTAAAATAATTGCTAAAAAAAGGCCTTATTTAAAAGAAAATGATAATAAATCCTTCCATCTAACATTAATCCCTTACTAAATCGAGGAAATTTCACCGGGAACTATCCAATAGGCTTGTTAGATTTCGTCGCAGAAATTCGTCTGCTCGACCCATTTTTCGAGGGCGAGGGCGCCTTTGGGCGTGCCAAGCACCAATTCGATGCTGGGGTAGGGATTTCGAAGCCCATCGCGAAGATGGGTACGGTTTTTTTCCGATGCTGCAGTGAAAGAAGTGATCTGGACTTTTTTCTTCGCCACAGGAGCAAGTCATTGTGCCAGTTTCGTGTGCGAACTTTCTATAAGATAGGGCGAAATATCCGTGTCCGAAACGAGCTGCAACAAGCGCTCCATATGTCCGTCGATTTAAGTCTTTCGGCTCTGGAGATGACCCGCTGGATGGGAGTCCATCGTTTTATTTTATTTTATTACGAATGGGTCCTAAGCTAAAGCTCTATATCCACATTGGGTCAAGGACCGCCGGATCCGGCAGGGTTCCCTGTAACTTTTCTTACAGCCTAACTCGTTCCAACCTCGCGAATCGCTACCAAAAGTGCAGCTGATTAAACAAAAACGATCAATCAAGAAAATCAAAACAACTCCGAATGCCAGAAGATTCCTCTATATTGATCCCAGCCAATACGCTCCTTACACATTCTGTCGTCCGTCACACCTTCCAAATGACAAATTTACTCATTCTCCGCTGAGAGCAAGAGATAAGTTAGCAGGTACCTTTTATCCAGCCGGTATCCTGCTATTGGTTAGTAGATACCCCAAAGGGGACATCCTCGAGGTTGCTGTGTCCTCAAACTTCTTCTTCAGCTTCCAGGGCTCCGAAACCTGTAGCCTCGGCCATTGAGACGTCCTTCGCAGCGGCGATGATCGCCTCTTCGGCCTTTTTTGCTGCTGCTCGTGCTCGAGCCACCTTTGAGAACTCCCCTTGTTCTATGTGGCGGATCCACGCGAGCTGGTCTTTGATCACCGGTCCCCCACAGTTGCGACACTTAGTGAGGGCCTTGCACTCGGCTTCCGAGTGCATGTTAGATCCGCAGTTCCAGCAGGCTGGAGCGCGGGAGCAACCACGGGTGGCGTGGAAGCCCAAACAGCGTTTACACTGTTCGATTTGTGGTCGTGGCTTGTGAATGGTAGCCATACCAGCCTCTTCGAGAATGCGGAAGCCCGGGCGAGGGGTGTTGTTCCGGTCGAAAAGGGCTTTCCAATTTCTGTGCGGCGCTCCAGGACGGCATGTCCCATGCGGTAGCACCTTGTATGGAAGCTTATGTGTTTTTCGGTAGATCTCCAATGAGATCCAATCCGCATTGACCGTATGTTATGATCTATGTACATGCATTTGCTCTGCACATTCATGCATGGACTATTCTACCAATCGACGATGTCGCTATGCTTGTGCGATGGTTAGACATCGGTGGTTGGTCATGAGATTGTATCAAGCCAATGAGGAAGGCTGATCTCTAGGAGTTGTGATCAGGCACGGGATTGATTGTGCACGGATAATGGCGGTCCTCGGTAAAGTCCAACATGTAGATAGATAAGTGGTCGAGTACCGCCCACAGTGACATACACACATTCGCTTCTCTTCATATCCATACTCTAGAACATAAAATCCATTCTTGAGTCATCTCTTGTAGATTACCTGTGACATCAACTATTGTACTGTCTCTAAGTCCACTCCCAACCACTGTCCAGTGCTCATACATCACAATACCGTATAAGTACAGTGGATTGTTTTTATGGTCGCCGGAACATTCGCGATCCGAAAGGCGACAAAGTTAGAGGCTTCCTCGAGCTTGGCGCCGAAGTCCGAAGACTTTGGTGCGGCATCTAGGAGCTCTTCCCTTTTATTTTCATTCCCTGTCAGAATCGCAAAGCCGGTTCTGACACAGTGTATAGAGCAGGCGTCACTCAAGAAGCAATTTAGCTCACTCTGTAGTTGTTGCCGTAGGCCAGCTGGCGTAAGCTGGCGCCACCGGTGCTCCTTTTCTAGGCGAGGGAACAGTCGTTTGTCGACTTTCGCCTTGGGAGCTTCTTTCTTTGGGGCTTTGGCCGCAGGTCGCGGCACAGCCTTTACAGTTGGGACTGCTTTTTGTTGCAGTCCATTTCTGGCCACCGTGGCCCAGGTGCTTTTGACAGGCAGAACTGGGACGGTGGGAGTTGTGTTACTCCTGGCTTCGGGAGTCCTTGGGGTTGGGTTCGCCGGGCGAGGAGGGAGAACGGGTGGCGAAGTGGCCGGGCCCGTGGCCATATATTGCGCTATGGCGGCGCGTATGTAGACTCTCATGGAGTCTACGAATTGTCTATTTGACCCGTTGGTCAAAGGGAGGAGGGTGGCTTTGACGCCAGAGATGGCGGCGAAACAGAGGGCCAGATTTGCCGCTGTTTCGGCGGCGCGTTGTTGTTCGGCTTCGAAAATTGGTCGAAGTTCCGGAGGGCACTCTGCTTTCGTGGCAGCTTTGGGCTGCGACGTTGATTTTGACGCTGCTTTGGGTGCAGCCTTCTCTAAGGGTTTTTGCGTGGTCGGAGGAGGTTTGGACGATTCTCCAATCCCGTGGGGGACGGAGGGTGGTTGAGGGATTTTCTCAACAATTTCAACTGACCCGACCATGTCAGTATCGGGTTCAGTGACGGCGGGGAGGGATTTTTCCTTCCCTTTTGTAGAGACCTAGCTCATCTCCGCGCATTTCGGAGACTGGCAAGGCCAGGTAATTGTTCGAGAGCCCTCGGATGGACTCTCGTGTTGTCCAACTTGGCGTTGGGACGCTTTTTGCGGACTGGAGGCATGGTGAAAATGCCTACGCTCGATCACAATTCAGAAATAGATGCGACGAGGTCGAGAATGGAGGAAAGAGGGAAAAAATGAATTTTCGAATTTTCGAATTTCTTGAATTTCTCGAATTGATGAAGGGTTTGGTTTTTTTTTTCAACTTTTGGTCCCAAGCTAACGCTATCTTTTCCACATTGGGTCAAGGACCGGTGGAGGCGGCAAGGATCACTGCGTACAGGCCCAACTCATTCCAACCGCATGAACTTCTACTGAAATTGTAGAAGTTAACAGCAAAACTAAAATCAAAAACTGAAATCAAATTTAGAAGAATAACTGTTTATTCCGGATCCCGCGCTTCTCGCCCGTTCCCTTTCCTGCCACATCTTCCAGGTGACTTTTTCTTATCTCCGCTGAGAGCGAAAGACTAGTTCGCAGATACCCTGAATTCAGCTGGTATCCTGCTATATATATTGAAGCTTTTTGTAGACTTCACCGAGGGTTGCTGTACCCTCAAACTTCTTCGGATTCCAGTATTCCGAAACCCGATTCCTCGGCCATCGAGACATTCTTCGTTGAGGCCATCGTTGCCTCTTCGGCCCTTTTGGCTGCAGCCCTAAATCGAGCCACTTTCGCGAACTCTCCTTGCTGGATCTGGCGGATCCACGCGAGCTGCTCTTTGTCACCGGTCCGGACTTGCTGGGTCTGGCTAAGCAGGCCCGGGAATCCGATCGGTGA